CAGGGAAAGGTTTTCGATTGAATTCGGATCCCAACTGCTGGGTGGTAATTGAACGAATTCAACATTAGTCTTCACCCACCCCAAAACTGCATAACGTTAAAAAAATAAGATTTAATGGGGTCGAACCGCTTTTTACTACCAACCCCAAACGAGAAGATATACCAAACTTCAGTCGTGTTTCAACGGAATCGTGATCGTTTCGGCTGTGAACAGTAAGTGGTACTTGACCTGCTTCGATCTCACTCCGGTGATCGTGTAGATGGGCCTGCCGATTCATTCATTCTGACACGATAATCGGACTCGATCGTGATTGCCGTACCCCCAGTTCTGGTCAATCCGCGACTAAACCAACTGGGATGGTGTTCTCAAATGCTTTCGGTGAAGCGGCGGGTGGTACGGGCAATGTTAATGGTTCCACAGGAACACAAATTGGTGAATGGAATGGTCTCTAAGACCACCTGATCTGTCCCTCTTGGATTTCTCTCTGTGGGGATATCTAAAGCGAACCGTTTATTCCCAAAAATGGATAACGATCAAGGAGCTTCAACAGGGTATTGTGGTGCAGTGCTAAAGTATTCGAACTGCAACCATTCTGTAGGTGGAGGAAAATTATCTTCACCGTATTTTGCTATGCAAGCGGCAGAATGAATAACAAATTGAATAAAGTTTATAAAATAAATATGTATTTTTCCAGAATATTTGTTCTTTCTTTCTTTTGGAATGCTATCTCCGACATAGTTAGCGAGATCGTTCAACGCAAAAATAGCAAGTTAGGAAAAAACAAGAAGAGTTTTGCTTGGACCTACATTAGTGAATATTGTTGTCCTTTATTAAGACAAGTTTAAAGTTTCATTATGATTATCTATTGACCGAACCCGCTTCGAAGAATAGTGCGTGTATCTTAGACGAGTCAAGCGTTGGCCCGGTGTCATCATCGCTTGAACAATTTAAATTGAGAATTTTCCACATGGCGCATCGCTCTACGACTGATTCTCTTGTGGTGATTCTCTACCAACACTTAGGCAGCATGGGATTCCGAACCTATCCTCCTCCTGTTCGGGCCCGAAAATCACACAACCGCTCGGGTTCATTGATCGATCGATCGGATGGTTCAACCGCAACAAGGGATCTAGCCCTTGCTCAGCTAAGCCGAGCGAGAAACCACACCTTGTTTACAGCCGTGAGTCTTAGGCAGGCCCAGTGAACTCCGACTGTGCAGCAGGAGTGCCATCAGCACACGGATGGACTTAGAAGTAACAACAAGAGCATTACAAAATGTACCATATCAGGCGGTCTCGTGTTGGAGTGAGGGATTATAAGCGCCGGAGATTGCGGAATATGATCCAATCAGATCACAGAAAAGGTCAGAGGGAATTTACTTATTTCAGGTCACGGGTGAGAGGGACGGGACGACGGAGCAATCGCACTTAACTTCTTGTAGAACGCCGCCCCTCATTGGGAATGTCTGATTATTCTGTGTTGAAGTTTCCTCTACCATCTTTGGCAGAACGAACCATCGTCTCTTTACTCGATATCGTGATCACAAGCTTCAAGTAAGACAGCGTTCTCCAGAAAACCTCGCGATGTTAAGGGAAATGATCAGACACTCCGACTTTACTTTGTTTTCTGATCCCAACCTTCAAGCTACTTAAACTTTTGTTTCGATGTCTGTGGTACCTCAGAGACAATTTATATTCGTCTCGATCGTTTCTCTTCCCCAAACCTCAAACAACTCCGTCGTAGAAAGAAGCGTGCCTTCCAAATGCATAAGCGCTACAAGGTGCGCTCCCTTTCTAAATCCATCCGGACTGAACTTCGAAGGCTTGACAACAAATGTAGTCCTGGGACCGGGCAAGCGCTCATGCGAGTTTCTGGTGTCAAACCCTTACACTGCTCACCTGCTGCGGTAGACATAGATGGTCTGAATCAGAGTTTCAGCAACGGTGGAACCGCTCTCACTGCTCTACCTAATGAATGTGAAATAAACACCACTGATCCCGTCTCCAGCGTCGCACATGTCGATATTTCTCAAGAGTTGGCTCGATTAAATCCTCACAAGTCCTGCGGCCCCGACGGAGTCTCACCCGCTGTCCTGAAAGAATGTGCTGCCTTCCTTTTCCGTGTACTGAGTGAACTTTTCAATGATTATGTTTCAGCAACGTAGACCCGACAGCTGGAGAACAGCCTCTATCACCCCAGTACCGAAAAAAGGGTCATCAATATTCCGTCCCATTGCCTGCACCTCAGTTGTCTTGAAGGTGTTTGAGAGGCACCTCATTCGAACCCTGTCCAAAATTCAATGTTGGTGACCCAAACCAGTTTGCATACACCCATTCCCGCGGTAGCCTGGATGTCCTTGCTTATCTGTCCCACTTTGTTCTATCCAACCTGGATAGGAAAAGCGAGGCTGCACGCATGTTTTCTTAACTACAGTGATGCTTTCAACACGATCGATGGACAAACATTTTTAAATACCCTCTCTTCGGGCGGAGTTCAACCTCCTACGATTGAACTCATGGCCAACTATTTCTCCAACCGTCAGCAGTTCACACGCTACAAAGGTCGTACATCTTCACTGCTTCCCTCCTCAAAAGGCGTTCTGCAAGGCGCTATTTCCTGCCTACATTTCCTCTATGCCTGTAAGCAATTCTTCTCTTCTCGTTTAGGATACAGACGACATAATATTCGGACTGTCTTACCCCAACTCATCCTTTCAAACTACTCTACAAGAAGATGTGTCTAAAATAGTTGAGTGGTCTCAACAAAGGAATCTCCACACGAAACCCCAAAAATGTAGTGACGTAATTTTTTTCCTTTTTGAAAGAGAAAAAGTATGATGAATTATCAAATGCCAGCCCGCCTCTATTTATCCTGTGACCAGATGGAATGACAACCGTCTGTCAGATACCTTGGGGTATTTTTCAACCGTAACCTCACCTGGTCCGACCACGTTAATGACGTTTTTCTGAAGGTCAGGAGGTTCACGTTTTATGTTTTACGTTTTAAATCACTACCTATCCCAAACGATCTCATAAGGTGCATTGCTTGCGTGCGTTTTACCTCACTGGCTTTATGGGTCCTCTGTTATCTTCCCTGGTCTTTTTAACAGGGACCTCAAACTCATTTCCCGATCCCTCAAATTTCTATCAGTTTGTAGTTTCACGGGAACATATGGTACAGTATGTGGTGACACATCACCTCAAGTCCTGTAAAACATTCTCCAAAAAGATTTTATCTGATATCTCTCATCCTCTTTACTCCGCCCTCAGTCAGTGCCCTTCTCAGTCATCCATCCGTTCCACTCATAAACTTATAAGGAAACGCACTGAAGCTTACAGGCGGTCTATTGTCCCTTATCCTGCCAGATTTCTAACAAATCATGAACTCGTTGCAGAAAATCTGCGCAAAACGCTAAACTAAATCAATCATAAACACCCGGGTATGCTATTGGTTTTTGATTTTGCTGTCTCTTTTTACACGTTCTGTAGTTGGTGTATCATATTTTTTCATTTTTTGTGGACACTGTGGTTGCTGAATATCCACCTCTCAAGGTGTATAAAGCCATTCACTGACTTGACTATGGGTTGATAAATAATAATAATGTCTCTCGGACTGTCTGAACACCGAACTTACCCGACTAGTGAGTTGCAGAGAGCCACCGTTTCAGAGTATTTAAATCGGTTAGAAGTAGTAGTAGTAGTTGTAGTGCGAACCAGATGAAATGTGCCATTTCTTCACAGATGTACACACTTGAACCACTTGCCCGGCAGTAGAGACTAGGTCACTGTTATCTCACAGGTGAGTACTTGTTTAGGTTCCTCGGGTTGAATGCCTGACGGAAACTTGTAAACAGAAATATCCTTTGTCATGGAAGGCATCATTCAAAGGAGAAAATGATGGTACTGGCCTGTCTATTTCATTTAGTCTAGTAACATTTTGTGGATCTAATAGTTTTATGCAAATCTACACTATGATTACCTCGGACAAACGTTTACATGCAAAACGACTTTTGGTTCGATTCGCCTGTGTTTAAATAAAGCACTGCTCGCTATCTTGATGCTTTGCACCTCATCATCATGTGTTACCAAATATACACTATACCTTTTTAACTTCAAGTGAATCTGACCAATCGCATTCTACTGGGAACCCCACAAAGTGATTGATGCTTTTATTGTCATACGTCACTGATTAGACCGAATCTATCAAAATCCCGTCCAGTCTGAATGACCTGATTGCTTCAGAGACAAACAAAAGTACTTTTTGAGTGAGTTACCGTGCGGGGATAAAAGTTTCGGTGGGGTTTGAGTGTTCGAACCCCCCCCCCCCACGAACGAACATTATGTTCTTGACCGTTGATCGAAAGACCCTTCGACCAGAATGAACGAACCCGGCGTTAATTGACCTCTGTCGGTCGGGAAAGGAAACGAATCACGTCAAGACGGATGGATAAATCGGTCATGGTTTTGGATGTTGGAATGAATCGATGCGTGATTGGTCTCAGTCTAGGCCCTAAATAGCCTAGTGAGTAAATTCCATTGAGGCCGCGGTTCATTCGAACAACACCGCTTCCTTTGAACCAAGTGCATATCTCTGGCATTGAAGGGCACACTTGACAAGATGCTTAACAATGGGGCCAGGATACAGTGATAATTGATAAAGTATTGAAAATCGGTGCTCCTAGCTCGGGTGAACTGAATTCCATTTCACCTGTTCGTCTAGCTTGGCAATTAGTTTGCAAACGTTTCATCATCAGCCCAGGTGACATCATCAGTGCTTGTGAAGGCCACATCATAGATTATTCATCATGAGTTGCGTCTTATTGCTGCCAGTGAACTCTCTAATTACCAAACTGTGCTCACTAATCTTCACTGATCATACAAATTTCTTTTATTCTAACTTATCTGTTAGTCAATCTCAATTTTCAACTGGGTCGAGTTTTCGGCTCGATCCTTGGGATAGTTAAAAGTTATGAAGATTTTTCTGTTCCATAGTTGGTCGGTATACTTACTGAAAAAACAAAGTGGCTACTGAGCCACGAGTGAATATATTATGTTGAATCAGCTACAGTTTATCTTTCTTTCATGTGCACTTTTTTCTTTTTTTTGTGTGTATTGCAAATAGCATCGACGGATCCGTCTGGTTTTAAATAACCTGGTAACCGTCAATATAAACTGTGTTTATACATTTTTCATTATTGGTGACAGGGGTGGGTTAATCCGAAAAGTTTTAACCATCGGTCAAATGGGTCGTGTTGTTTCGATTGTTGTTTGATTAAAGTGGGGAAATCATTTCAAGCAACGATTGCATGAAAACATTGTGTCACGAAATGCAGCTGACGAATCCGAAAACAGGTCCAAATTAATTTTTGGCATCTCCAGGGAATTTTTGAACGTTGCCAATGTTCTGGTGTTAACTTAGATTAAGTTGCTGTGTATATCTGCAGAATCAATTTGTGTTGGATGGGCCCATTGATGATTTTGCTTGAATCGAATTACCTTACCTTTTTCACTGCGAATTTCACTGGTGAGAAGTGCATCGAATGGTGGATATTAAACTTTATGCACTAGCCTGCATGTGCTACCATATGATGAACTTCATCTAAGTTGACAGCTGACAAGCTCTGAAGTAGTCCGTTGACGAATACGGTTATCAGAAAGTCGTTCTACTTCTTTAGCCCGACCGGATTAATCGGTACTTGTGTTGACAACTGTGTTGTTCTAGCTGAAAATAAACGCTTTTGCGTAACTCCAGTTTTGGAGTTATCCCGGGGCTATTTTTTTTATCGTGTTTCAATACAACAAATTGAAAACGATAGTTACAGTAGTTAAATGCAACGCGTATTTCAATCAGACGTTTGCATTTTTATTTCTGTGCCAATACTTCGCACGATATGTTTATGGGATTTTTTATTTCGCCCATCAATGTCTGTTTATTCTGACGCCATAAATAAAGTAGAAATAACTTCAGCACCACAGGGGTCAATGCAAATCGCTCGTGAGCTTCAGGGAGTCCAGCATATCCAATAACGATTGAAGGGAAACAAGAAGAATGTACTGTTATCTCTCAGCTTAAGATAAATCGGCCAATATTTGGGACGAAGTCAGTATGTCCTATTTTTACATCTTCATTCCAAGCTACCAGTTAGATTTTATTAAAATGATATGATCTGGATGTTGTGAGCTGACGACGCTTGTCGGGTTCATCTGGCAGATGAGACCATGAAACATCGAGTGGAAACTGAAGTGATGATTTCGTACCTGAAACGACAAGAAGAAGAAGTTGAAAGTGTGCGCGAGAGAAAGGGGTAACGCGCGATACAATTCGATTCAGTTATGTTGGGGACGATTTTCAGAGGGTTTGAACGTAATCCAATGGAAGCAATGTACTATTAGATACGGTAATAATCATGTGACCGCTATTTGTTATGCAAAATAATGTGAAATTTCCCCTCTCGAAAGAAACATTTGAAAACAGTGTCCTTGAAAGGTCGTATATCCAAAGCATAAGGGATCCAACTTTTCCCGTTCTGGTGGATGAGTCCTGTAAGTTCCCTCTGGCGACGAATAGAATAGTGCTCAAGCCGAGGCCTTCAGACCTAGCTGCTGGACAAAACCATACTGCAAACAGTTTATTTATGATTGGTCCAGACGAAACACACCCAGAAATACACCTGTGTGTCTCGACATCTGTCCATGGATGAGGCGAGACCCGACTTTCACTATCAAAGTTCTCACGGTCTAACGTAGACACAATCTATCCTAGTCTATCGTCATGGTGACATGCCTCGTCTACTCAGACCAATAGTGAAGGATTCTACTTGCCTAAGTTTTACCCTACAATTCGCACACGAGACTTCTATTGTCTACTCCCACAACAATCCAACCGGTTCAGGAATTCAGCCAACGACAGACAATACACAATAAGGGTATGAAAATTATCATATTTGTACGATAATAGTAGTAACGTGGTAGATAAGTCACGGGTCTCTTGATCAGAAGAACAGTCGCTGAGCGTGTCATTTAGCGAGTGCATATTCTCTTTGTGCAAACCGTAGCAGTCCGATCGCAATGGGGTTGCTGGCTAGGATCTTGATGATGGTCGCAAGTGGTGTTGGAGTTATATGCTGTTTGGCTGCATTGATTCAATATCGGGATACAATAAGCGGTAAGTGAAGTCAGCCCACTCACCCACCCTCATCCAATGAGATTATACGTTTTCGGTATTTAGGTATCAAAATCTGTGATCATCCGCAATTTAAATTTCGAAGCATTTTAGCTACTGATTTCAAAGAAAGAAAAATAAAACCTACGTAGTATTTTTGTTGGATAAATGCGTTCAATTTAACAGACAACAGTTGCTACGTTAGGAATTTTATTATTGTCCATGGGATTCACTACTTGGGTGATCGTGTATCCTCCACAAGACGGATACTTTTCGTTTGAGTATAATTTTCAGTTTCTTAAAAAAAACTTCACAACTTTCACAAGACCCATTTATTTCTATGTAAGATGTACCTTAAAATGTGGCATATCGAAAAGATAATAGTTCCTAAAATGATCTCACTTTTCAAACAGTCAGCTCTCTTGATTTTGGGCATTACTATCGACCCTTTAAAAGTCGCACTTGATTGGTTGTCGCCACATCCATTTGATTGGACAATGCGGCATCCGCTCAATTAGACGATTTTGTTGACTCACATTTCGATTGTTACACGGTGTCGTCTATAGGACACTGAATGCCTATGAATTCGGTTCATCAGTGTTGCTTATCATCGAAATTAGTTGTTCGAAATCAACCAGAAGTTACCTATCAAGCAGAGCCTTAAGATTTTTTGAAATGGCAGTAGAACTGACATCCGAACGGAGCTCTTTGCAATTTGAGGATAAAAGTGTGAAGTGTTACATTAAATATGAATTAGTTAAACGGGACAAAAGGTATGGATTCAACCGAGCAGGGTGTTCTCCCAAAATCAAACGGATTTTCAAGAACCTGAAAGAAGTTGATTACCATTGATATGATCGGATATGGGATTAGTATAGCACAGTTACCCCGCATTTAAAACTGCGATCAGACGAAAAGTTTTGAGCTTTTCTGCCAGTTCGATTTTAAAGCCTCTAACTGATGCTTCCAACCGTTAGAAAGAAAGGTTTGTAATGAACATATAACATGGAACCAAAGATAAGTAATCCAACAAATATTTTCCAGATTTACGGTGAAGTAGAAATGAACCCAAGAAAATGTGGGAGTTTCGGGGTAGAGTAACTGACTTCACACGGGAATACAGCGAGAAATATATATAGCACTGAAGAAGCTGCATTGTACGAAACAACCTTCCAGAAAAGAGCAATGTTAACATCCTATGGGAATGTAATACGTGCAAGGGAGAAATACCTTCACCGCAGGTGATAGGAAAATATCACGTGTGCAGATACTACTACTATTTTAGCCATTGTCTTCGGATTGCACATTTGGATGAAGGAGCAGAGGGAAGACTGAAACAGTTGAAAGCATTGTTATCGTAAAACCGACATTTCATGGAGATCAATGCTGCGAGGACATGGGGTAGATGAACGAACGTAACTGTTTATGACACTCAACTATATCACTTGGTACCTCTAATCATCGGTTAAGATGATCCCGAGGTCCCCATCCAGGAAACCGTACGTGACCTATATGACCGAGTCTCCTGGTTATGGTTTTTAAACCCGGATGCAAGATCTTGGTTCGACCAAACTTGACATTTTTCTACCCATTACGTGACTCGGCCCAAATCGGACACTGTGGCATTCTGTACGATAATATGCGTAACGCATGCCTCAACAAATGTAACCTATGGAGGTCGAGCACTTGGTCCAGTGGGCGATCGCGATTACCTAAAACAACACCTGACCACAGCTTGGCTCGTCCGATTTCCCCAACAGACTCGTGCTGTAATGAGGCGGAGCAGAGGAGGATCAAAATTCGATGGCGCAAACGATAACCGGTGATCACCAGAAACCCGGGGTCATCCGTTGTGATACAAAAATCGACAAAAAAGGTATAGTTAACGTGATATTCGAACAGCTTTCAAGGGACCACAATGCTAAAATTTTGGCATTTATTGAAACGTTACTAATTGGATTTCAAATTCTTCCAATTTTATGCGCCCCAATGCTGTTGACGTAGTCGAGCCATCCGCCGCGAAGTTGACCTACCCTGCCTCTTTACTTATGCCAGTTTCTTTCACGTAACAGAATGGGAGGATTAGACGCTAAATTAACATCTCATAGAAATTAATCTTCTTTCGGTTTTGATTCAGTGGAAGCAATGTTTCAAATTTGCTATTGTGAATTGCGTTTGCTTCGTTCTTGAATGAAATACTTGCATTATGTTGACAGTTTTCTACAAAAGTGAGTCACAAATAATCATCTCTCAAATAGGTCACACAATTAGTTTTCTATTCAATTTTCAACTAGGAATAACTCGGTCTGCAGATTTGATATTCACATTTTCATCGAGTTGCTTTGAGTGGGTCAAAGGGAATAGCATATCATAGCCGTTTTATTTGAAAGAGGACTTCTGTTACAGACAGCCTCTGGGAAATCGTAGTATGCAGACATCACATTGACATCATCTTTATCCATATATAATATTCTCCTTAGAAGTACGTTTTCGCATGTTTCCTGTGTGAAAATCACTATTTTTGTTTTGTAGGATAGAATCTACTTTCTGCAACAAAGCTGACGGAGAATCTTATTCTTGTTTCTAGGTATTGAGCAGTATATATATATATATATATCACATCAAGCATCATTCCGTGATAAAGGAAGTAGATTATGGCTGATACTTTCATCGTTGAGAATAAAATTTCGTGTTCTGATGCACATTTTCTTGCCCGCGATTTCTTTTCCCTGCTACTTCCAAACTGTTCCCTGGTCATCGAGTGCAGCCCAGAACAAAACGGACGCAGCCAACGGTGCGATAGCCTGTCTATTCATATCCCTGTTCATATTTGCCGGCGCCCTGATATTCCTGCTTATCACTTTGTGCTGCTCCTGTGGTGATATAGTCATGGGAATCATCACGGCCACTGCGGGGGGTGCTGCCGGTAAGTGAATTTCCGCGTTTAACTCGATTTCATACTGCCCGTGACAACAAGTGACCCTCATGAGGCAAGTATAGCAAGCGGGACCAAGTTTCGGTCCAATAAATGAGGATCGCACTGCGAGTTAACGCTAGAAGCTAACCAAGTATAATTTCATGAAACAATGAATCCCCTTTATCCAATTCGCTAGAACAGAGAGAAGACAAATACTGCGGGATGCTAACATTTCTTTTAATCTCCTCAGTCGTTAGAAAGTAAAACAATCTGGTATTCATGCAAAGCAAGTTTTGGTAACTACAATGGTTCCACGGACAACAGTCAGGGTAGAGGAAGCAGTCCCACGACAGACTGACTGATTGTGTCAGAAAATTTTGTGCACACAAGATTAGGCTACGTAACTTGATTGGTATCGCCTATCTAAACGCCAAGATCCTGGGATTCGTGTTACGTAATAACGGCTGGAACGACAAATGTGGGTCAACGATGTGCCCAGTTTTCATGATATGTTTTGCGATTGATGACCCTGAATTTCTCTTATCAGATTGACCTCTAAGACTGTGGTGCGTCAGTGATTGTACCAACCACTTCGGAATGTGTACACACATGCGTTGTGAAAGGGATTGGTTGTTTTACGTTGTAGCGACTAAGGAGAATAAAAGTAATGTTAACATCTCGCAGCATTTGTCTTCTCTCTGTTCTAAAGTATAATTTCGGTAATACTGATTTAGTGGTTAAAACAATATAGCCGCAATAAAGTAGAGCAAGTCAGTTAGTATTGTGGCAGAGTCGTTACCATTCAAAAGGATACCACGTCTATCCCATTGAGATCTTATATGATTCGTCACCAGTCATTTAGTATATTAGAGTATGACTGTGGATTTTTCTACTGCTGTTTCTAAAGTTAAATAAAAACCCTATTCCATTCCACGTTGACCGCCAGATGGTCTATCGCCACTCATGAAACACAGTCGGCACCTTTGAAAGTGGAGCTCAATCAAGACGGAGAACCGAAACCATGACCTCAATGAGAGACCATGAGACCTCAATCGCAGTATGAGTTTCAAGAACCATGATAAATGAGATATATTCCGTAAACACATAAAGCTTATCTAGACCAAAAGTAGGGACGGTAAATTCGGTGGAACTGAATGTTATTTGGAGTAACACTAGAAAAACCAAATGGTAATTTCGACAATTTTATTTTTCCAAGGTTATGTGATTTTTATCGGATGAACTCTCAAGTCAAATTTTTTTTAACTTTTCTTAGGTTAACAATTTGTATTTTCGTCAAAATCGTTTACACAATATTTGATCAATAGACATCAAAGTCGTTGACAAAACGTGCCTCGTCAAATAGAAGCACATCGCTGTAGCCATGCATAACCCCTAAAATGATTGACCGGTTATTGTGACCAGTTTTTCGAGTTATCGCTAAAATATCCAGATAACGATATGTTCTACAATTTAGTGTTCCAAATCAGCTTCACCGTGGCCGCTATCGATAAAGCAACTAAACACCAGACATCCGTTTGGCTAGAAATAATAGCCCAATAAAGGAAAACTGGTAAAAATTAAATTATTTTCATTGCTTGTGAACAGAATCTCATTAATAAGAGAATCCTTTAGCCTCGAGCATACCGCAGCCGGATCAAGGTACCCAGCTCCATCCGAGTGGTCGCGAACCCGTCGTATTCTGAACGATCTTTGATGGGATGCAACATGGATTCGTAGATAATAAGCTCCAAGTTATAGCTCGCACAACTGATCCAGTGTGCAAATTTTCGGTCGACACATAAGGAGATTGTGAGAATGTTCGAGCTAGCAGTTAGTCTGATACGCAAATTTGACTCGTCCGCATCCAGGCGTTTCCCGCTTCTGTGTTATCAATGTTCAGGCTAGCCAACTCACATCTGCTTTCAGTTATTTCCTTTTTTCGTTGATCACAATACATACTATGGCTTATCTTCTGTAACCGGAATCGCAAAAGTGCCATTTACGACCGTACAAGGTGTCATTATAATATGAAATAGTTTTGTGCAAGCGGATATGAGCTCCGAATAGTTTGTTGTTATGGCAAACTGCAGCTGAGATACTAACTGTTGTAGTCGCAATAGAGTTGACGAATTTCGATGACTCAGTGGTCATAGTTTATCAAGACATTCTGGAGCGAATGAACCCCTTAAAGTTTGAAAGATGCACTTCTATTTTTAGCATCGTCAGACACTGAGGTCATGATTCCAAATAGCTGCACTAGTGTCGATCAACGCGTCACAGTGAACGCACCGATCAATCACAATAGGCAACAGCAACAACAAAGAGAGCGGTCAAATTCAAACGTGATAAACATAACCGCTTGGTTACACTAGCGTTATCATAGAACTGTTCGGACTACGGCTACGAATCAAAGAGCATGGCAAACTTCCGAATGTACAATCAAACTTGATGCAGGACTAAATAAAGCATACAATGTTGGAATTCGTGATGTTCTAATATCTCCTCCAAGGTAAACATTTGGCTCATTTAACCATTCTCGAGAAGTGGATACGGATATTTCTCGCGTGTGATTAACAATTCAGTGGACCACCACAATGTTCGATAATTATATCAATCAGGCTGACGTCGAATGTTATACGGCATTTCGAGGAAGCGGTATTAGGGAAAATGGGTTTATCTTTTGAGGCCTTCATTTTCTGGATCCAGCGGAACAGAGAATACAGCCTGTCGACAATAGTGTGTTACCTTCTCAGGATCGCTTCAACCGTTTCCAACCGAACGAATGGTTTCATACCACAGAAATCAGACAACAGGAGACAGCTATAGTGCTTTAGGATATTTGGTTCGCTGTGTTTAGACGCCATACCCAAATCTGTCGTTGCATCTTATTTAGTGGAACTTTTATCTGTTTGTCTTCCTTAGCGGTTGGTGTCATATTCGCATCAGTACGTCATTAGAATGATCGTAAAATTCTCTGAAGGTCCAACCAAGTGATGCTGACATTCTCAGAGACCGAGTCCTCTGGCGGGTTATCAGGTGTTGTTCCATATCAACGTCACAGTACACTCGGTGGTCTTCAGGCACATTCCCCTGCAGGCTCCTATCAAAATGTGAGCAATCCGTTGCGCTGGTCAAATTTATATAACGGTGTGGAGTCATGCCCATGACCAGTCACCTAGATGGTTGATCTGTTAAAGTAAATTCGCTTGGACAAAGAAACAAGGACTGGAAACTAACCAGGAATGTAACCGATTCCCATACGCATTCTTTCCCCTTTTAGACCAGTGATTGTCTTTTCTTTTTTCAGCCATATTCGCAGTCATCGCATTCGGTTTGGTCAGCAAACCACGAGCCGATATTGGACTGAAGGTACCGGATGTTGGTGAGTGGTTGTTCGGAGGTATAGCAACCGGTATCGCAGTGGTCTTGGTCGCCTTGACTATGGCCGTGGAGTAGAATTCCGGCACGAACAGAATCTATCAACAGTTTGAAGCGAAATCGGAGAATGCCAACCACAAATTCGCACTCCAACACATTCTCGTTCTCTCCCTCCCTCAATAAGCATGTACCCTTGAGCTCACTTACTCTTATTCATGACCAGTGACTTATGGGACACACTCGTTTTTCTCGGTGAACAACTGTACCCAATGTGTGGTTTCTTCTGTAAACAAGTTTACTTTTGACGTGTTCATTTTCTATTCGCACTCTTACCACTTACTCTACATTCGTTCATCCAGTAAATATGGATCCGGAACCTATAAGATTTGACTATCAAAATTGGTGCTTTACGCACAACTCTTGATTTTACTTGGTCGCTTTGTGACACTGATTAACATATTTCATCTTGGTGAGAAGTTATCAAACTTATTTTGAATTCACGAAAATGCATGGTTATGAGGCATTTCAACTTTATCACTAATCCTTTCAAAGGATTTTCCAATGTTTCGTAACATTTATTCTATAGAATCGATTTTTGGAGAACGGCGGTGATGGGATTTTAAGGCGTGACGTGATGGTGACCCAAACCGCTTCATTAGGACTATCACACCAGCAGTAGAAAAGCACGTTATCTAAAGGCCCAACAACGGGAATAATCAGTGTTTGCATGATTCTTTTAAAGCCTCTCGATACCAATTTAGATATAATAATAATAGGTATATGAAACCAGAATCCAAAAACATTAATCCTATCATATCAGTGTGTTACACTCAAGCCAGATTAGCAATGGGATGCTTGACGCATTCCACCTCAGTAACCGGTTATAATATATTCAAATCACTATTTCATACATATTTTAAGCTGATTATGGAACGATGAACAGGTACATTGAGATTGGCTATAGAATATGTCTTGACATGACATGCAGATCAAGCGATTTGCGAATTCCATCCAAACCAAGGTACAAATTGCGCTCTGGTGAGGCAATCTGCATAAGGAAACTCTCTAATTTTCATAGTCATTGTCGCATGACATTCCATGAATGATTCATTACAAGGACTAACAAAGAATACGCATATATATAGTATAGATAGATATATACACATTTCACAATACATAGTGCGTGAATGACTGAACAGAATTTCCCTGGAAGCACACGCTCGGTTTCACGGTTCTTGCCGCTCGACAGGCATGCGTAATATTTTGCCAATTCATTCATATACTTGTACCCAGGAAGTGTATTTTCGTCACAA